TGGGACACTCTTGTAGGACACTCTTGTGGGACACTCTTGTAGGACACGCTTGTGGGACACTCTTGTGGGACACTCTTGTGGTCACTCTCGTAGGAAACTCTGGTGGGGCACTCTTGTAGGACACTCTTGTGGGACACTCTTGTAGGACACTCTTGTGGGTCACTCTTACAGGACACTCTTGTAAAACACTCTTGTCGGAAACTCTTGTGGGACACTCTGGTAGGACACCCTTGTGGGACGGGACACTTTTGTGAGACACTCGTACGGGACACTCTTGTGGGACACTCTATCTGGGACACTCTTTTAGGACACTCTTGTGGGCCACTCTTGTGGGCCACTCTTGTGGGTCACTCTTGTGTCAAGCTCTTGCGGGGCACTCTTTTGGGACACTCTTGATACCACAAATCATCCCGCTCACCAGCGACACGCCGCGTTTACACCAGCATGTTTTTCGCTCCCCAGTGGCACGGCGTCACGCAAACACTTTTTCCACCAAGGCCGCGCAAATCCCAATGGCACTGCGACATCACGAACGTCGTTTCGCCACACGGTCTGCCCATACAATAGAAGCAAACATATCACATGATATCGCCAATCATCCCGCTCACCAGCGACACGCCGCGTTTACACCAGCATGTTTCGCGCTCCCCAGTGGCACGGCGCCGCGCAAACGCACTTTCCACCAAGGCCGCGCAAATGCCCATGGCGCTGCGACATCACGAACGTCGTGTCGCCACACGGTCCGCCGCCCACTAGAAGCAAACGTAGCACCTGATACCACCGACACGCCGCGTTTACACCAGCATGTTTCGCGCTCCCAAGTGGCACGGCGCCACGCAAATGCATTTCCCACCAAGGCCGCGCAAATCCCAATGGCACTGCGACATTACGAATGTAATTTCGCCACAGGGTCTGCCCATAGACTAGAAGCGTTTCGTACGAGACGTCCTCCAAAATATACGCGTACAGTCTCCAAAACGAGCGTTTCGTACGAGACTTCGTCCAAAAGTCACGCTTCGAGTCTGCAAGACGAGCGTTTCGTACGAGACTTCCTCCAAAAGTCACGCGTACAGTCTCCAAAACGAGCGTTTCGTGCGAGACTTCCTCCAAAAGTCACGCTTCGAGTCTGCAAGACGAGCGTTTCGTACGAGACTTGCTCCAAAAGTCACACGTGTCAAGTCTGCAAAACAAGCGTTTCGTGCGAGACTTCCTCCAAAAGTCACACGTCAAGTCTGCAAAACGAGCATTTCGCACGAGACTTTCTCCAAAACGAGCGTTTCGTTCGAGACTTCCTCCAAAAGTCACACGTCAAGTCTGCAAAACGAGCGTTTCGTACGAGACTTCCTCAAAAAGTCACGCGTCAAGTCTCCAAAACGAGCGTTTTTGTACGAGACTTCCTCAAAAACTCACATGTCAAAGTCTGCAAAACGAGCGTTTCGTACGAGACTTCCTCCAAAAGTCAAGCGGAAACACCACACATCACGCAGCCCTGCCAAGCAGTTTCGCGATTCCAGCCACTCCAAACAACACCCGCTCACACGCCAATCCCAATGTCACAGCGACATTCGCCTCTACCACAACTCACAACCTCACAATTCCCTGCGCCTGCCACGAATCTTTCCACGTCCACACGTCTAACGCGCACAAAGTACTGCGAAGTACCGCGCCTGCCACGAAAAGTGACCATATCATATCATGTGAGCTTCAACAAAATTTGCACCGCGCCACACGTTTGGAATGATTTCGACCCGTTCTGAGCACACTCCCATCCACCAAAATCGCCATTTCAGCTGAGACCTGTCACGAAAACAGAGCTTCGATGCAACACCCTGAAATGCAAACCCCAATGGCACGGCCGCATCCAGCACCCCAAAAACACCACTCTCCAAACGCTAATCCCAATGGAGCTGCGCAGAAAACTGCGGATCTCACAAAACGCTGCGTCTGCGCAGTGAACTCAACCTCCACACTTCGACGTCTTACATTTCCAGACGTTTCCACTCCACGCTATTTCACACGAATCTGACACGTCACGTTTCCATCCAAAACCCTCTCCAAAAGCTTCCCCCAATGGCAGCGCCTTAGCGCCCTACTGCGGACGGTTGTGAACGCTCAGACAACACGTGGCGAACAAGGCTCTACCCCCAGACCCCCAGAGTTAAACGAGAACCATTCGCTACTCATTCGGGAAAAATGTCTAAAGGTCGAGTGAGTTGAATGGCCTTCGCTTCAGTGCTTCTCCCAATCCACGCAAAGCAGATGCAGTCAAAGGACTGTCCTCTCCACAGGTGACCTGACATAATATGATATGATATGATATGATTGCGTAGGTACACAATAGAACCTAATCACAACTCTTGAACGAACCTGCCGCACGTTTAAATAAACTCATGAAGACACTTGATCCAGGCACCGAAACCCAAGCCTCGAACAGAACGACGTTTTCCTGCTCTCTTTCAACAGCCTCCTCCTGATGAACGTGATCAAACGCAATCCAAGACCCAAACAATTTCAACGCTACACCAGCCTTGATCCCAAACTAGTGAAGGCAACCTATGATTTTTGTTTGAGCATGTGAGTGAAACGTGATACCAGAGACCCCCAAAAGTATTGAGTAGAGAATCAAGGGTGAATAAGCAACTGTAGTAGAACACACGCACGCACTTAGATGTAAAGCTCACTTGCATGAACATTCGATCAGATAGTGAGTCACCGATGCTTCGCCCTTTAGCTAACGGCAAGGTGAATGGTCACAGACACCGACATGTTTAACATCGCGCTTTATCGAAAATTGGAGTGACAGCTTGAGAAGCACCCCAACCAGGCACCTACGTCACTGGACGTCTCCAGTGATATCCTCAGGACACTGCAAAGGGCCTTCTCCACTCCCTTGCTGCATCAAGCGGTGCGTCAAGGCCGTACAGGAATCTCAAAATTCGGCATCAAACATGCTAGAGAGAAGCCTGTTGGAGAACCCTTAGAGATAGGGGTTGACACACACACACACACTTATAGAAATGCGTACGGATGTGAACGCGGTGCCACACACCAGCCTAAGTAAAACCGCCTAAGGTGTCAGGTGCAAACACCACCAAATGACTTCCCTCAAAGCGACGAGAATCCTGCAAACCTCCAAGCTCAAAACAAGTGCGTGACTGCCGATGCAAACAGGTGCGATGGCTGGAATTCTTGTTCTAGTGACAAAGGGGGCCTGAAAGGAAATGAGGGGTGATCATCTTCGCGCAGGTACGGGCAATCTACGTCCAGATTGCATATCACAGCAAACTTGAAGTGTCTTCGTTGGGCGGTGACTTCAAGAATGCCCACCGCTCCCCTGCTCCAAACGAAAGGTTCCATGTGAGTCCAAGGGTTACACACACGCCTCCCCGAAGGGAGGCATGTGTGACCAGCGGGTTGCTGCCTCGCGAAGTACATCCGGGAGGTGTGCATGATGTCTTGGTCTGATGCTTGGCTTGCTTCATGGACTGCGGAGACCCACTTTTTGATCGCCATCATGGACCAAGCTGCGGGGGCATGGGCGGACACTGGGCGACAACCAGGCCAATTGGGGGTGCCACAAACGCCTTGGCGTCGGTGGTCTTGTTCGGAGCGGATGCTGGAGGGGCACAGCCCAGCCAGATCATCAGACCTTGACGAAGTCCAGAACTTGACCAGCTTAACCCAAGCATTGAGCTTCAAAGGCTGGCGCCGCGCTCCAATTGCATCCTCAACTGATCCAAACACTTTGTGAGCGCCGGCAATGTCCCCAGCGCGTAGCGCGTTCCATGTAACCCAAGGTGCTGAGAAAAGCTTGGGGGACGGAAGCACCACAAGGGCGCCCAGCAAGCTCTTCTAAAAAGTCGACCACCATAGACACATGCGTTGGTCACTGGACATTGTATGCGGCGTAAAGCCAATTGGCACAGGCGCATGCCACCGCACGCCTGAGAACAAACACATCAGAGCACAGGTACGCGAGGAAGCGCATGAGAGCACGCCGGCACCAGCGCACATATGTGAGCAAAAATCTAAAACCGCACATATGACAGCATGGCGCACCTATGTGAACAAACACATGGGGGCACACTCATGAGAGCACGGGTATGAGTGAGCACATGTATGAGTGCGCGCATATGAGAGCACACCTGTGAGAGCACACGCATGAGAACACACTC